AATTATACACATGCATCTATGCATACTCTCACATGCACACCCCCCAGTGACAGAGTCTCACTTAATCTGACAGAAAAATAAAATCACTGAAGGTACTAGGATCAGTCCTAAGTAGTGACGGATTTTTTAAAGAAAAGCAAAAGAAAATGAATCTTGCTACTTGCCCAGTTTCCCAGTGGCATACTACTTACTACTAAGCATAAAGAAAAAGATCCCATTAAAAAAATGCTGGTTATGGGCCCTGATTCAGCAGACCACTTTAGTTAGTGATTAACATTAAGGACAAATGTAAGTCGAAGAATGCTTTGTTGACAGGAGTTTACACACAGAAATAGGGCCTCAGCCATACCAGCTGCCAATCAGTTATGATTGTGGTAAATATACATATTCCATCTAATTGTGTAAATATGTATATTCCTTCTTTCTAAAAAAAAAAAAAAAAAAACCCAAAAAACATACAGACATAAACTCTTAGGTACTGTAATAGGAAAATTAGGTATGTGCTTGAACTCAAATCTCAGACTGAAATAGCTTATAGCTTATGACTTGAGGATGTTGGACTATTCTGCAAAAAATCAGTCAATGCAGTTGTGCTAGTTAAAGAGAAAAAGTGTTCTGAAGTTGTAAGACGTTTTAGCAAAGGCTCTGCCTTTTGGCTTTTAAAATAATTTCTTGGAATTTATTTTTTAACAAGCAGATCCAAAGCTATTATTGGCTTAAACGTTATCTAAAGAAAACATGCTCAGTATATTTTACCTTTGATCTTACTGAGGAGTGCAGTACCATCCCTCCGCGTTAGTATGCCCTAGTATAATCCAAGATTACACATAGATTATGTACGGCATGCTCTCAACGTCGAGAAAATTATAAACAATAGCAGCAACTCTGGATTTGTAAATTCTAGAATTCTGTATAATCTAGGATCATAAGTACAATATAAAAAAATAAAATTGACAAAACAGTCATAGTATAGTAGCTATTCAGGAAAGTTGCTGTATCACTAGTTCATGCTAATTTGCAGAACAATGATCAAGTCAGATGAACAATCATAGAATCATAGAAGCATAGAATGGTTAGGGTTGGAAGGGACCTTAAAGATTCTCCAGTTCCAACCCCCCTGCCACGGGCAGGGACACCCTCCACTACACCAGGTTGCCCAGAACTGTCAGCTTAACAATTCAAAATTTTTAAGAAGTTGCCCTAACTAGATTTTTTTCTCCTTTTCCCTGCATCTCTTCTCTTTCTGCTTCCCTTGCAATTACACACTTACTTGTTTGCTGCCTTTCCTACATCCTAAAATATTTTCATATCTTCTCTAACACTTCTGTTAAAAACCAATGCAGTGCTTTGCTTTTTGCCCTGACACTCTGGAGAACTCCTTGTCATGTCTTTATCTCACCCACAGCGTGACTGATTCCTTACTTACTTCTCCTTACTTTCCCTCAAGAGGGGGAAA